TACTAAAGTCCTAATAAACTATAATTATATATATATTATTAGTTTATTTAAAGTTTATTAAATAATTAATAAACTCTCCTTTATTAGCAGCTTATTCTAACTATTAATTTATTACCTACTATACTTACGCTATCTTGTAGCTTATACAGCCGGCCTAACCTGCGACCTACGCTGCAGCTTGTGACTGGGTCGTAACAGAAATTATCACGATACAAATCCTCGCTCTAATATCACCTAGCAATATTCACCTGTTCTCTACAATCTATTAAATCTATAAGTCTACAATCTACTACTAAATAATCTTAAAGCGTTTACTAACTCTATAAATCTTAGAGCTTATTAACGCGCTTTTCCTATTAAAAAATCCAGTAAAAATAGCCTATTAATAATAACCAGCTCTTATAATAGGTTAGTTACTTTTAGTGCTTAAAGTCTTTAAAAGGATTCTTAATACTTATAGCTAGGTTTAGAGGGCTGGCAGCGCAGCTAAGCCTTCCTATTATCTTATAAGATTTGCCCTATCCGGGTGCCAGCGCCCTATAATACTTGTCATGCCTGACTACTCCCTCTGATTCCGTTATCTAAGGCTTTCCAGCTGATCGTTTAGCGGCTAGAAAAATTAGGTTAATATACTTAGGATTAGTTCGCGTATATTACCTTACTCTTATACCACGGCCTAAGTATGCCAGAGTATATTTAGCGTAGGTTTATAACTTACAGCTATATCCTTTTATAGTATATATATTATATTAATTTTACCGTGCCCTTTCCCTTAAACTATTAATATTATATTTATTAGTATTTTCCCCTTATATTAGCTAAATACTTTTACGCTTAAAGTTAAAGGCTAAATATTTTCTGCTAAATAATAGGCTAAGAAGTAATTATTTAATTATTAGCTTCTTAACTTCCTGCGCTATATTATGTATCCGTAAAGGTTTTAATAATATATTATCTGAGATTACTATTACTAAATAATATAGGAGAACTCTTAGCTGTATTTATAGTAAGGCTTAGCTGTATAAGGATTACTAGTAGATAAAGAAGGAAAAGCCGGCAGAGAAGTAAAGAGTAGAGCAGTAAGCATTACTATAAGAATACGAATTTTTAGGGCAAGGGAAATAAAATAATAATAAAACTCAGAATAAGGTAAGCTATTATACCAGGACCTTTTATAAACTTAAATAAATAGTTAGGAGGCTTATATATATACTATTAGGTTAGTAAAGCTAATTAAATCTAGGAAGATAGTCTAGGTTAAGCTTTTATATTCTTAACCAGTTAACACTACGATTAATAGCTTAGGTTCCGCCTATATAAAGGCTAAACAACTTGGACACGATTAACTTAAAGCGTCTGGTTAACTTATACCTCTTCTGTCTTTTCTGTGATTTTAACTAGTATACTGCGCGATAAATAGAATTATAATAACACAACGCTTAAAACTTAAAATTACTTATCTTTATTACCTGGTTCCTCTTAGGATTCCGTGACAATAATTATATTATTACCTAGTAGTATAAGCAGTATTAATAATAATAAATAGAATTCCTTTAGCAACTCTGGTAAGCTCCCCTTAAAATCTTCTAATAAGAAGCTAGATATTAACGCAGGCATTTTAACTTCCTCTACTATATAGCTAGTAGCTATTAAGCAGGAAAAACCTAAGAGAACTCCTATACCTAAGCCTTTAAACGCTAACTATTTTTATACTCTCTTTTCTAAGTATAAAAAGCTTATTAATAAGCAGGAAATACCACGTAAACGCGAGGACTTACCAGATAAGAGTATAAATCTGTTTATACCAAAGTATCCTGCTTAGCTTATAATTAATTTATAAATAATAAATCTTTCTCTGATTAACTTAAACCACATCAGAAAGCTATCTCCAGCCTGACTGCAAATATCGCCCGTAAGCAGCAACGAGAAATCTCAAAGAGCAAGACCTAACAGCGGAAGGTTACTTCACGTAGGGCTTCGCGGACAAAACGCGCCTTAGTAAGTAGTATTTACAAATACAAATATATACACCTAAGAAAAGTATATTAAGTATTAAACAGATCTATTAAAGTTTAAGTTTTTTAATTACTTATCTTTTTACTATATAATTAATTACGTAGGGAATAGGTAATTAAAAAGGCAAAAAACTTAGTAACCAGGAAGTTTGGCCACGCCTCTTGGAAGAGGGAGATGAGCAAGTTCGACTGCGTAGGCATGAAGAAGAGCGAATTGGACTAGATAGCAGATAGTCAGATGTGAATATACGCACTGTTACCCCATTTTGAATATCCAACTTGAACGCGTTCTTGGCTCTATTGAGGGCTGTTGCTCAGCAGGACCATCGAGAGTGACGCTAGTTATGGTCTTCTACCATGCCGTATAGACGAGCCGCTCCGGAAAGTGGAACGGCGTCCCAGAGGTGCGAGGTTCCATGAAATCGCTTTGCAGGTTGTGCCGTTGGCCTGGAGCAGCCGAAGTTACCACCAACGTACGAGCACATGGTTGGCTACATAGACGACGTGTCCATTCTAGCAGTTGGCCTATCAGCAACTCATAACTGCAAAACCCTCGCCAATGGAATAATTATCACTTGCATTTTTGAATTCTAGGGTAGTAGCACGGTGCACGCTACATTCTGAAACCCCGCCTGTCAGGACGGCTATTCGGCGTTTCCGTTTTTCCACACCCGGAGCCCAGGCCGACGTGAAATCAGTCGCGACGAAAGCGTTTTCGTGCCCCTTTACCTTCGCTAATAATAAGGTGGTTTTAGACGGCGCGCATCCTCGTCATGCCGGATCAACCAAGATTAAAGCTTATTAACGAAAACCTAATAGGGAATAGGCTTAATGCCTTCCGTGCCCTTTTTACTTTGATTTATAGCACTAGAAATATTATCTTTATAGCAGATATACTTAGTTAACTTAGTTATAAAGGTAATTTTATTACTTAATAATTTATATGCTTTTTTAATAGAATAAATAGATTTTTATAACCTTATATTTATTCTTTTTTTATTCTTATAAAGTCTCTTAGTTTTAGGCTTACTCTTATTAATAACTAAAAGTAGTAGTTTCTGAACTAATTTTCTTAGACTTATTTTTTTTATAGCCTTTAATAACTTTAACTTTAATTATATTAAACTACTTTTTAAGGTAGTAATTACTAATATAATTTAAGATACGTAAATCTAGAACTTTATATTTAT